ATTTAACTGTCACTCTTACAACAAGCCCATGGCCAACACTTGGAGTACCCTTATCAGATCGAATAGTTGGATCTAACTGTCACTCTTACAACAAGCCCACGGCCAACACTTGGAGTACCCTTATCAGATCGAATAGTTGGATTTAACTGTCACTCTTACAACAAGCCCATGGCCAACACTTGGAGTACCCTTATCAGATCGAATAGTTGGATTTAACTGTCACTCTTACAACAAGCCCACGGCCACAAAGTGCGGAGCGCAAATTTTTACCTATTTATTTTTCTCGCTAACGACTGGATCGCGTTTGGCCCATTATTGTAAGAAACACAATGCTATAGATTATGTGATAATTTACTTTTAAAAGGAACATGTGTGAGATTTTATTCATAATAGTAAAGCGTGTTGAACGCCTAGTAATTGTAACATGTGTGAGACTGTGGGTCACACGCGTTAATTGATTTGTAATAGTAACACACATCGAACGTTTTGAATTTTACGACAGTTTATTTATAACGATAACATCGGACTGTCTATGCTCTACTTTAACCATAAAGATAAAGTGTTATTTGTAATAATAACACACACACAGAACTCTTTGAATTTTATGACAGTTTGTCTGTAACGATAACACAGGATTGTCTATGCTATACTTTAACCATAAAGATAAAGTGTTAATTGTAATAATAACACACACGGAACTCTTTGAGTTTTATGACAGTTTATCTGTAACGATAACACAGGAATGTCTATGCTATACTTTAACCATAAAGATAAAGTGTTAATTGTAATAATAACACACACGGAACTCTTTGAGTTTTATGACAGTTTAACTGTAATGGTAACACAGGAATGTCTATGCTATACTTTACCCATAAAGTTAAAGCATTACTGTAATAATAACATATGTCGAAATCTTTGAGTTTTACCACAGTTTATCTATAACGATAACACAGGAATGTCTATGCTATATTTTACCCATAAAGTTAAAGTATTACTGTAATAATAACATATGTCGAACTCTTTGAGTTTTATGACAGTTTATCTGTGATGATAACACAGGAACGTCTATGCTATACTTTACCCATAAAGTTAAACCGTTATTTGTGATAATAATAATAACAACGCATGTCGATCCTCTTTGAGTTTTATGGCAGTTCATTTATAATGACAGCACAGAACTGTTGTCCATACAATGCCTTTTACCCTACGCCTGTCATGGGTTAGTGTGTAGGGCACTCTCAGGGTCGCAGGTTCGAATCCCGTCCTCGAACCTGTTATCCTTTTCAGCCATGAGAGTGTTATAATGGGGAGGTAAATAACTGTCCAAGAGTTGGCGGTGGCGTAGTGTTTATCACTTCAAAATTAGGGACAGTAGCGCAAATCATCCTTAACTAGCTTTACGCAAAATTCAAACAACCAACCAGATTCTTTACTCAAATATTTAAAGCGTATGGGACTTAAAATACTTTATTACAATAGATAATAACTTTGAGAACCTTACTTGAAAGGACGACATCTACAAGTTGTTATTGTACAGAGATTATCTGGCCCAAAGCAGTAATGGTTATCTTCGTCAAATCATTTTCTAAAACAAGAAAAGAAAATTATTTAGAAGCGAAAGATAAAATATAAATTAAAAATACAAAGATGATGAGGCCCGGCATGGCCAGGTGGTTAGGGCACTCGACTCGCAATCTGCTGGTCGCGGGTTCGAATCCCCGTCACACCAAATATGCTCGCCCTTTCAGCCGTGGGGGCGTTATAATATGACGGTCAATCCCACTATTCGTTGGTAAAAGAGTAGCCCAAGAGTTGGCGGTGGGTGGTGATGACTAGGTGTAATGCTGTGGTAGTAATCGGAGCTTCGCAGCGTACTGTAAAAGAAGATTCAAATTCTGATGTGTTCATGGAACTCTGTGTACAATCTCTGGACTGGAAAAAAGTAGAAAACCCCTTAGAAAAGCCAAAACCCTTGATGAGGTAGAGGATCCAACACCCTCAGTGCATAATCTAGAGACCCATAGTCCAGCTAAGATTAAATATGGGCACATTAAATGTTGAGCAAAGAACATTGCCGTTTTTCGAAAGATTATGCTCAGTGCCCTTGCGCACTTCCTGTTAAGCTGACTAATGTGTGGAATAAAATCCGGCTTATTGTCCAAGTGAAGTTCTTAGAACATAGTTTCAGCCACCACGGGAACCACGCACTTGAAGGAGTATAGAAACACGGGGTAATTCTTAATAGTGTCAGAAATGCATGCAAATTGTTTATAGTCAATAGAATATTAAACTGTTTGCATTCACAGAGGTTATTAGGACAGTTTGGAGCTGTTGTGCAATGTATAACATATTTAATAACTGACAGGAAATTTGAAAGTCTAATACATATAGGCTGTTTCCTGTTGAACAAAGTCGTATAATGATGGTATTGATTTTAGTGCCTAAAAGTGTGACACTCAAGACACGATCTACTCTGTGATATTCCAAGCTGTGTGAAGGACCAAGGTAATATTGATCACGCCTGGACTCATAATTTTATTTCTGCTAAAAGATTATGAGTAAAAATTAGGAAATGGCGAGAAAGCTCATGATAATGGAGGCTCTGTAAAATACAGAAGCTTCATATGGTATGATAAAAAATTTCAAGATAACATGTACAGAAACAAGATGCACTCTTATGAGAAAGGCTTCTCTGATTAAAATTGAAAGTTGAATCAGGCGGTCCATGGTAAATAACTGCTTGCAAAAACAACACCGGATGCTGGATAGGAGTTTGTTTGAATCGAGAAACCAAATAAGATGAATATTAACCATTCTCTCAAAAACCGTGATTAGGAAGAACCTCGGAATCCTTCCTAGACTGTGAAAGAGTTATGACAACAGTATGACATCGTTAATTCATAAATGTTTCCAGATTATTTATGTAGAAATATTTGAATTTGTGGGACATATTATTATTTATAGGTAAGACTGTTGGCTATGGTAGTTTACTGTGTAAAGGACACAGCTTTTGGAACTTGTGTCTGTTTATTTGTAAAAGTAACATATAAAACAAGCTTGTTCATCGATCAAGTGCTGTTTGTTCTACTTTTCAAAACGATGCTAGTGAAAAACACCAGTAAAGAATTATGAGGTACCGTGAACCTTTTACTACCCAATGAGGTACAACTTTATATGCCCAAAAGGCTTATACAAAACATTCACTTTCTCAGCCTGTGATAATGATGTATGTAATAGTAGTGTTCATATTCTTCTTCTTCGTGACGAAAGCATAAAATGTCTCTTTTATTGTCTATACGTTATCTGTATTCCTAAAAGTGGTATTTATAATTATGTAACACTATTGGACATACACCTTTTTTTTGGGTGAAGATAGATCTTACAAATATTTTTTTTTCAGTGGTATTTCTTTAGAAAAAGTATCGAATGCGGTCTTGCCAGTCGTATGATTTTTTTTCTTTTGTTTGAGAAGGTAACAAATATCGATTTTGTGCTTATAACTTTTATAACATCAGTAAAAATGTTTTAATCGATGATGTTGCTTTAAAAGAAGTAGTGAATGTCACCTCGTTACTTAATGGAATCTTTTCGGAGAAGGTGACAAATCCCGTATTCTTAACTATAACTTTTATAACATCAGTAAAAATGTTTTAATCGATGATGTTGCTTTAAAAGAAGTAGTGAATGTCACCTCGTTACTTAATGGAATCTTTTCGGAGAAGGTGACAAATCCCGTATTCTTAACTACAACTTTTTAAGGGATGAAAATTAAATATCTAGAGCTACATCTGACAGACAATAACAAATTCAATTAACTTTAAAATGTTCGTAGTTTCTCTTTGGTATTGAGTGAGTAAGTTAAAAACAACTATTTTTTGTTCACATACGAAAACTAAGGTAAAAACTAAGTGAATTTTCTTATCTCTTTAAACTTGAACGCACCGAAAGACTCATAACTTTCTATGTCACTTAGCGAATTGACAAAGCAGAAACCGATTAGCCCTTCTGATTTATATGTTATCTAACTAAAAGCATCTGAACTTCTTGTTCTTTCTCTATCTTATCATCTTTGTTTTCCCTCAGGCACAATTCGGAATCCATGATTCAATTACATTCTGCAAAACATTTACTTTTGATTCCTGTAATCCAGTATGGAAGCTTAAAACTACAATGTCTCACGGAAAACTCCTTTGTTAGAAAGTAACTATGTATATTAAAGTGCTCCACGTATCTTTCAAAAGCCAAACTAGCTTGTTCTTACCTGCAAGTTTTAGTATTATACAGTTTATATGCTGGAGTCCATTTTGCTGACGTCACAAAACTCGGCAATATTGTTAGCATAACGTTGTCTGGGTCAAAAATCCGTATAATACCTGATGATACATCTTTAAATACCTTATCTTAGAAACATAAAACCGTCTCACAAAAATGAACAAACACGTATTTTATGCTTTTAAACGTGAAACCAAAAATGCATTTATACATTTTTATTTCAGATAATCATTTCAGTACGTTCCACGTATAAAATTCAATTCATTTTAAAGATAAGGTAATAAATAAAACATTTGAAACCTGACTACTGAAACGTAAGGAAACAGAATATAAAGGGTTTCTTTATCTCTATACATTATAAATATTTATGTACATTCTTAGGAATGAATCATACGCACACGACCCAAAAGCTTAATATATTTATATATAATTTAAGCCACGCATATATTTTACCACTGAGGGGCAGGTTGCAGTTGTATATTTTCACATATATACAAAGTTTTGCACTTTTGTTACGTGTACTTTTGTGGCAGGTTTTTATTTTTTATGTTTTGCAGAACTTTACCTTTACCTAACTAATCCCCCCCCCCAGTGGCACAGAGGTATGTCTGCGGAATCACAACGCTAGAATCCGGGTTTCGATACCCGTGGTGGGCAGAGCACAGATAGCCCACTGTGTAGCTTTGTGCTTAATTACAAATAAACAAATAAATAAACATAAATTAATTTTGTATAGAATAAAAAATAAATGAATGAAAAAATAAAAACGCAGCCATAAAAACAAATATTCAACACCGGGGCACAAATTATGGTTTTGGTCATTATGTAATGTGCCCTTGAACTTTGAGGTACCGGCGGAAGTAATACTCAAATGGCGTTGGGGTATACAGTATATCCGATTTAACCTCAATTTCACTGGCTTCAAACGTTTTTTTCCTGTTCACTGCTTTAACTCATCAGAGTCAATGCTATCTAGTGAATCCATAAAATAATCTGGATTTTTCACCAGCTATGGCGGCGATTGCTGCCACGACAGCGAGATGTTGTCCTACAAGCCTCTCTAACATCTTGAGAGAAACTGACAAATAGAAGGCAGAAATAATTGACTTGCTGTATGACAACATATAGTGGAATGTCGATGGACAGCATTACCGCAAAAATTTACGATCCAACACCTCGTGCAGGAATTTTAAAAGCAAGAATCCGCATGTGTACCAACCGCAGTGAACAGAAGTAAAATTAGAGGCCATATATGTACCAACCGCAATGAACAGAAGTAAAATTAGAGGCCATATATGTACCAACCGCAATGAACAGAAGTAAAATTAGAGGCCATATATGTACCAACCGCAATGAACAGAAGTAAAATTAGAGGCCATATATGTACTAACCGCAATGAACAGAAGTAAAATTAGAGGCCATATATGTACTAACCGCAGTGAACAAAAGTAAAATTAGATGCCATATATGTACCAACCGCAGTGAACAGAAGTAAAATTAGATGCCATATATGTACCAACCGCAGTGAACAGAAGTAAAATTAGTGGCCATATATACACCAACCATATATGTTAAAAAGAGTGAGAAAAGGATCAAATGTGGGTGCTCAATCCCACATCTTTTGTTGTTTGTAGCCAGGAGTGGGAAAGTGGTTATTCACAAAAATAAATGTGTAATAAGAAGAAAGATAATAATTAGGGTATTGTACTTCAATGGGAAAACAGCAAAACTGTCCTTGAAATTGATAATAATTATAATAATCAGGGTACTACACTTCAATGGGAAGACAGCAAAACTGTCCTTGAAATTGATAATAATTATAATAATTAGGGTACTACACTTCAATGGGAAGACAGCAAAACTGTCCTTGAAATTGACACTCTAGCCCTCGGAATGATGTTTGAACATAAATACCAAAATGTTAAGGTACTTCGATACTAAGCCCAGTCTTTTGCCAGTAGTATAGCTTCCATCCTCAACCTTTCCATGCCACTATCTGGATATTCAATGGTCTTGAAGAGATCCACGCAGCAGCAAGTCATATATTTACTTAAATCTAATTATATTTCATCTAAGGTTTGGATGTGTTGTGTAAAATTCACGTTATCTTTCCTTTTAATGTAGTCTGTTTGTAAAAAAAAATTGAAGCTTACTTAAATAATTATATATATACATATAATTTTAGTTAATGTTTTCCTGTTTAAGTCGTGGGAACGTGTACACATGCTATAGACTTGTGAAAAAAGCAAGTGCAATCAAACATTGCTTCAATGCTATCTGAGTGACACAGTGCTAGCTATCTGATGTTCACCT